AGAGAGAAAGAGAGAGAGAGAGAGAGAGAAAGAGAGAGAAAGAGAGAGAGAGAGAGAGAGAGAGAAAGAGAGAGAGAGAGAGAGAGAGAGAAAGAGAGAGAGAGAGAGAGAGAGAGAGAAAGAGAGAGAGAGAGAAAGAGAGAGAGAGAGAGAGAGAGAGAGAGAGAAAGAGAGAGAGAGAGTAGAGAGTAGAGAGTAGAAGGGCGTGAGAAAAAGAGTAGAGAGTAGAAGGGCGTGAGAGACAGAGGGAGAGATAGGAGCGAGGGAGCGAGAAAAAGGTGGGGGGGAGAAGAAAAAAGTTTATGAAAGGGAGCAAACGGTGGAAAGGAGGCGGGAAAAGAATTTTGAAGAGATTTAAGGATGAAACAGAGTGAAAAGAAACAGAGTTAAGTGTAAAAAAAGTACAAAAGGTAAATAAAACGAGGAAAGTGATTTAGAAGAGATATAAAAATGAAATGTGGTGGAAAGAGTGGTAAGGAAGATGGAGGGCTGACAGGAAGAGAAAACGCGGTAATTTGAAAAGGAAGTGTTATAAGAGAGAGGTTTAGAAGAGAGACGGCACACGGTGAAAAGAGAGCTAGCAGAGAATAGAGAGAGAGATTTAGAAGTGAGAGGCTGGGGAGATGGAGACTTGGGAGGGAGAGAAACTCACACGCAACTCCTTCGATCTAACGGAGCTGCGTGGGTCCGAGTGCAGCTGGAATCGAAGCTGCTGCTCGGTTTCGGGGGCATAGCGGTGGTCGCCGCCTCCGTCCTGTCCGGCATCGGTGTGTGCTCGTTTTTCGGCATCACCACGACCCTCTTCACGATCGAGGTGATCCCGTTTCTGGTACTCGCGGTAGGAGTGGACAACATATTCATCATCGTGCAAGCGCACCAGCGGAAAGAGAGGGGGGAGGAGGCGCGAACGATCAAGGAGGACATCGCGGACACGATGGGCGAGGTCGGTCCGAGCCTGTTGCTCACCAGCTCGTCGGAGGTGCTTTGCTTCGCGATAGGTACGTTTGCGAAGGTTCTTTCCAATTCTTAAGTGTCCAATTTCAGGGTCGTTGTCGACCATGCCGGCGGTACATTCGTTCGCTCTCTACGCGTCGTCCGCCATTGCCCTCAACTTCCTCTACCAGATCACCGCGTTTATCGCGCTGCTCTCGTTGGACGAGCAACGTTACGAGGTAAGGCGATAGAGCTTCGATAGAAATACCCTCGACAACTTTTGATAACAAGTCATCATTCTAAAGGTTCTTTGGGTACGCGGAAGGGGCGTGGCTCAGTATAGGCCACTTCGAGGGGGCGGGGCTTGGTTTAAGGCGGAGTTAAAAAAATTATAGCCGCGCCCAAAGAATCTTTGTTTAACAACGAGTGTTGAAACCATTAGGTCCTCCGTTTCAGGCGGACAGGCTGGACATTTTCTGCTGCGTTCAAATGGAAAGGCGCGATCCCGGTACACCCAAGAGGCCGCCCATCGTCCACACGTTTTGGAAACAGGTCTACACTCCGGCAATAATGACGTGAGTACCTTGTATTTACTTTAGAACGGAGCGATAGTACATTCGTTACATTTGAACTACTCCCCACGCCTGACGTATACTTCCCGATTACGGCTAACGCGAGGAGGTGTAGGAGGGGGGTATGTGGAAGCACACGTCAGACACACTTCCATTACATCTCCACATGTACAGGGTGACCCCTTTAAGAGGGGCCTATGCCTTATCTCGAAACCTACCAGGGTTACAAAAAAAAATTAAATACAAAAGTTGTTTCTATTAAAATGGTCCTTATTTTTTTTATTTTCCTAATCCTAATGCCTTAATTGGCAGGTAAAATTAAAAACTGGGTAAAAGATTTAAATTATTAAGATATGAAACTGGGAACTAACTCCTTATCAACTTGTTCACAAACGTCTTAAAGCATAGTTAAGAAGTCAATTAAAAACAGAATATTAAGCTTTGCACAATGTTGTCAAATTTCGCAAATTACTTATTTTTACGTTTAAATGTCTACGTGAAATGATTACAAAAAATTAACGCTAACTACTAATGCATATTACTTACATGTAAAATTAATTAAATTAGTAATTAGTAAATGGTATGTGGCATTTGAGACGTCATTCGTTTCATTCAGATAGTAAAGTTGGTAAAATATGGGCCCTAAAATTCTAGATATCCAGATTACGCAGCATGACGTGGTCTATATTATTGAGAACATGAATATTTTTTAAAAGTTTTTTTCCATTTAAGGACCTTATTTACAATATTCATAAATTATGTATTATTCCCAATTAAGACAAAACGATAAGTACTGTGTTATATAATTTGAAATTGCTATTAAAGTGGCCATTCGAAAATCCTATAAAATACGGGGTGTCTCATTTAAGAAAATTGAGAAAAGTATAATTTTGCGAAACGTGGCAACACCGCGTATTTTAAGAAAATGCTTTAAATTTGCATTATTTTCGTAACAGGTTAATAAGCAACCCAACCATGATCGTTTACACATAACCCGAATTCTGCAGATGATCGCTAAAAGTTCGAAACGGTGCATCACAGAACCATACTCATATATATCGTTGAATATTCAAAAATTCAATAAAATTTAGGGTCTTCTATTAAAAAAAAAAACTTTATTTTGCCACCCTGTATATGAAGATTAGGAAAATAAAAAAAAGGTCATTTTAATAGAAACAACTTTTGTCTTTAAATATTTTTTTGTAACCCCCGTAGGTTGCAAGATATAAGCTCCTCTGTAAATCTAACCTCTAACTCCACATTCTAGTCCATTATACCCAACATAGATATAGAGATACGGAAGAGGTCTATGTAGAGAAGGTGTAAGAAGAGTGTATAAAGAATATATGGAAACGCTGGGTCGTTTTTTATATTTGTCTGTTCTCTGTTCTACCTGGTCCGTTCTCTGTAACAGACCTTCGAAGCATCCACCACGAATAAGTCAAATTATGACTGATTTCGGACTCTAGAATTAGACCATAATAATAATTTCAGGATGCCGGCACGAATCGCCACCATGATATTTTTCATTTGCACATTCGCGGTCAGTCTGATGGTCGCGCCCTCCATCGAAGTCGGGCTCGATCAGAAACTGGCGATGCCCGGCGACAGTCACGTGCTCAAGTACTTCGAGGTGAGCACACAAAAAAAAAACTATAACCTCGAAAACGGAGGTTACCCAAACGTGGAAAAAATTGCAATGGCAAACGTAAAACAAACCGTTGCTATTCGTATAGTTTGCTCGTTACAACCGAGGCAAAAATAGATAACGGAAATCTGGCCCCTCTCCTTAAAGAGTTTTGCTCGCCATGTATTAAGTTTTATTTTGTCAAGGGATAAAACTTACATTAGAAAAAACAAATTCTTATGAGTATACTTCCACCAGAAATATAGTGCTTTCACAGCCGACTCCGTGATTAACTTTGCCTACTGTTTATTACTTCAAAACTTACCGTAACCATTCCAGGACCGTCCTAGGACTAACAAGCGTCCTAGGACTAACAAGCGGGATATTAGTATATTTTCCATCTTTTTCGCCCAGTAATTCTTGAAACATGTACATAAAAAAAATAGTACGTTCTATGCCACTTGTTTTTATTGCCGCTCCTACTTTCCCTTCTGAATTTCTTATAAAAATATAAACATTAAAAACAATTTGTTTAGCATGGGAAGACAAATGGATCCGCATTTTTATTAAAAAAATAAATAAGAACAAAAAGTTCAGATTTTCACGAAATTATGTATTTTCACATGACAATTGTTTATCAAATGTAATATTTACAAACCACCTGCTACTATATATACCGAAAACTGACAATAAAACCTTAATTAATGTTGTGGGAATTCAAGTTCAATAAAGGAGAGGTATTTAAATCTGATTGATCTTTAAGCGATACATTTGAATGTCTCATTTTGTTAATCTCCATGGCTTCCAATAAATTTAATTTTCTACTTTTTGTGGCTGTATGTAAAATATCAAAATTGAGATTAGGGACATTTCGTTTCATTGTTTTTTAAAAATTTTCCTATTGCATTGTTAGTTCTGAAAGCTATTTTTAAACCACATTTTGACAAATGTTTTGAAACTTTTTCACTGGTTTCTCCTACGTATGTAATTGTTTTAAATTGTCCGTGTTCTGTATTAGGTTTCGGATAAATAGAGTTTACTGTTGCCTGGATTTGTTTTGTACATCAAATGACAATGGTGTTGCGTTAGAAGGGATTTTGATATCTTTAATTTTGTCGATTAATTGAAAAGAATTTTTTATTGCAAATTTTGGTTCAAAATCTGTGTGGAAGTTTAAAATATTTACTAATTTTGTTGGGACTTTAAATGCTGGAGCTGTTACACAGATAAAATTATAAATAAAAAAACAAATCCAGTAAAAAATATAAAAAAAATAAAAACTGTTTTGACTGGAAAGTGCATGATAAATTTCTACTATGCTCACATCTATTGCTACCAATACCATAGTGTCTTTTGGGGAAATTCAAGTCATGCGACATCTGTTTTCAAATATCAAAAAAATGTCTTAAGGGGTATTGCTGGAGTGGCGCCGGATATTTAGTGCATGCCCCTCTTCTGGGAGTTTAAAATACTGCCTTTAGCGTGTATATACATATTAGAAGTTTGTTTATATTAAAATAAAAATAGCTTACAAAAAATCGGAGATTTCCACGACTATAATACACGTAACAAAGACTGTTTTCCCATAAAAAAATAGACTAGAATTTTCAAAAAAATATTTTACGAACACCGGTATTAGAGTCTACAATAGACACATTTTTAAATCCAAACTAAAGTTTTTCCTCCTGGAAAACTGTTTTTATAATTTTACCGAATATTTTACCTATTAATCATTCATTGTTGTGCTTTGTCATATATTTCTATTATATAAGTTTTTAATGTAATTTGCTGCCTCATTTGCATGGTCTACTTGACGAAATCCATAATACACTGTTTGTATTCTAAATATGTGAGATAATGAAGATATTATTATTATTATTTCTTGAACCTAACGGGCAGCAAGTTAGTAGTTCCTTTTGAACTTTAAATGCAAACTTAACTGAGTATACGAGAGTTTGTCTTGCAAATGAACATATTTTTGGCGTTTTTTTCGAACATTCGGGTGGCCTCTGGTTCCTCTGTGAGACGCGTAGGGGGCGTTTTTTTTACGTCGTTCGTTCCAGTACTTGGAGGAGCTCCTGAGCATCGGCAGTCCCGTCTACTGGGTGACCAAAGGGAAGCTGGACTACTCTGACCCGGATTTAAACCGGAAGGTGTGCGGTGGTGTCGATTGCATCGACTATTCCATCGCGACCCAGTTGTACCTCGCGTCTCAAGCGGCGAACATGTGAGTGCCTTTTTTTTCTTTAAATCCCGCTCCAACAATCGAATTCTCAGCACGTACCTGTCGACGAGGCCCGATTCCTGGCTGGACGACTTCCAGGACTGGGCGGACACCGAGGGTTGCTGCAAGTACTTCTCTTCCAACTATTCGTTCTGCCCGCACACCTATCCGACTTCGTTGTGCTCTTCGTGCTCATATTCCTCTCTGGGAGGCAACGTCACCCGCCAGCAGTACTTCAAGAAGTACCTGCCCACGTTCCTCGAGGACAATCCCGACCCTACCTGCGCCAAGGGCGGTCATGCGTCGTATTACAACGTAAGTACCATTTAGGTTTAGTTAGATAACGGGATAATGGGACGTGATTGGAAGCCACGTCCAGGCGGGAAAACAATAGCAAAAGAAACGATACTAAATGGAAGAAACGCCTATGGGAAGTGGTTTAGTTAAAAACTAAACAAGCAGGATGATTTTATTGTCAAACAAACTCTTTTCCGTGTCTTAATCGATTGTCGAAAGTTATACGCGGTCGCCGTCGATACGGGTCGATTCAGCGTCGAAAAAAAAAACCGTTCTTTGTTTTTGTCTGTTCTCTGTTCTCCCGCGTCTGTTCTCCGTCACGCGCTCTCGGAAATTTCGAACGATTGCTAGGCGGATCGAGGCGATCTGACGTCGGCGGCCATTTTGTCGCATATTGGTGCGGAAAAATTATCGTTTTCGTAAGATCGGACAGCTTAGTGTGAAACAAGACCATTTAAAAAACAAGATGGCAACTTTGGCGTTATAAATGAACTTGCTTTTGACGAAACTTCTGGATTCCTGTTGCGTCGGTTTTTGTCAAGTCAAGCTCGCTAACCTAACAGCGACTCAGGTCTTTACATGTCACCAATATGGGAATCAGTTATCTCAAACAATATATACAGCAGGTACACATTAAAATGCGAGTCAGTCTCAGTTAAGCTCTGAAGAAGCCAACACAAGTTTTGAAAAAAATATTACGGTATCTTGTGGAAGTTTTTTTGAAAAATCAAAATAAACTCGTTTCCTAAACGCGACCTCGTCTTCTCCCCGTCACAGGGTATATCGTACACGACCGACGACGACGGCACGACGTCGGTCGCCGCCTCTCGGTTCATGTCGTACCACACGGTACTGAAAACGTCCGCCGACTACATAGGGGCGCTGAGATACGCTCGCCGTATCGCTGCCAACTTGACCGAAACGTTGGGTGTCGACGGCGTCGAAATATTCCCCTACAGTGTGTTCTACGTCTACTACGAGCAGTACCTCAGCATCTGGTACGACACCATCGACAACCTGGTCTACGCGCTGACCGTAGTCTTCGCCGCCGCCTTCTTCATTACCGGTTTCAACTGGTTCACCGCTTTCGTAGTCTGGCTGACGGTCGCCATGATTGTCGCGCACCTCCTCGGCCTGATGTACTTCTGGGGTATATCGTTGAATGCGATCTCGCTTGTCAACTTGATCATGGTGAGTGGGTCCATGGCGGATAAATTTATAAAAACCGGCGCATCCGCCAAAAACGGGAAAGCAACACGGCACATCCGCCAAAAGAGATATTTTATGAGTCGAACTCACTATTTTAAAACCTACTAGTTCTTAGATTACGACAAGCAGTAGAGATACAAGAAATCGATCAATTAAAATAAATCAATGATATCGGTAATATTCCGGAATAAATTTCATACATTGTAGCCAAATGGTGAATGTGTTGAATGCAAAAGTTGTGGATTTTCAAATATACAGGGCGGTTCATAGATATGTGGGAAATCAAACTTGCATTTTTTGGAATACGGAACACCCTGTAGATTTTATAATATTACCCAAACGTGAAAAGTCCACACAGACGAATTAGGTGCAATTCTTTCAGATTCGTTACATGTTAATACAAAAAGGTAATGCAGAATATATTAATTAAATCCGAGTTTTAAACAAAAATAAAATTATAAACTGCGCAACTTTGGAAAAACAATGTAAACATATTTTTACGCCACGGACTATATTTTTTTAAATTTATTTTTATATAATTTTTTTAATTAATCAGCATTTTTATTCTTTTGATCAATATTTGTATTTCGATTATAAGGTGCCTTTTAAGTATACGTAATTTTATTCTTTTTTGTTTGACTTATGTAACATTAATAAAGTATTTGTATTGAAAAATGCAATAGTTGCATTGCTAATAGTTCAGAAAAGTGGCTCTAACACGGCCTTTGAGCGATTGGGCAGTATAACAATAATAACAATAATAATGATATTGATAATGATAATAATAATAAGTATTTCCATGACCTACTTACATTTGCACGAAGACGCCATCTGAAAATATTATTTTATTGTTTAATAATATTTTGGGATTTAAGGAGGGCAGAATTTCTAAGTTAATGGATGGAAAGGAAACTTTTTTTTTCAGACCTATTTATTTTTATATTATATATATATATTTTATATTTTATATACAGGGCGTTCCATTTACAAAAAAGTATCGTTTCCTACATACTTATAATTTATAAATCACCCTGTATATTTGAGAATAATTTTAAATTACTTCCTTTTGTATCTAACATTTTTTTTTAAATAATAAATGAAAAATATCAATTTGACATACTATTTGAACGTCCTAATCATATAATTATTTGAAATCACAACTACTCCCAAAAAAATAACCTTTTTATAAATCTATAATTTTCAGAGTTCTTAAACCTGGCAACGCAGCAAGAACAAAAACACCTAGTTGATGCAACAAGCTGAAAGTGAAACCACAAGATCCATTTTGTATAAAAATGGATTATTCTAAATATTCAGGGTGTTTGACGGTTCATGAACCATTAGACGTATGACGTTAAACATTTTCTCCTCCTTTATGGATCTAAAATATTCGCAATGTTGCCACTTGTATTAAAAACACACTTCCATTTTCTCTCCACTTTTATTGTGCAAAATATTTAAATTTTCAAGATCATAGAGATATTTTCATCGGGTTTAGGATCTTGTAAATAACAAAACCAAGACTTCAATGTGCCAATTTGTCACGCGAACATTTACCCGCAAATTTCAATTTTTCATCCATTCATTTCCATAGCAATTTGGTTATAAAGCCCAAAATCTGCATTTTATTGCCTGCAAAATCCCACAATCCATAAAACATGTCGTAAAAATCACCCCTAAACTTCTTAGAGGGACGCCACCGTCTCACAGCGCCTGAACGCTATTTCACATAACAAAAACGAAACGTTCACACCAGCTATGTTTTCGTGTTGAAAATTCCGATGACCTCATTTGTTGCGCAGAGCGTCGGCATCGCGGTCGAGTTTTGCGGCCACATGGTGACGCATTTCGAAAAATCGGACAGCGGTACTGCGGTCGGCAAGGCGACCGACGCCCTCGCCAACGTCGGCAGCTCGGTCTTCATGGGCATCACGCTGACGAAATTCTCCGGCATCACCGTCCTCGCGTTCTCCAAGTCCGAAATCTTCAAGGTGTTCTACTTTCGCATGTACCTCGGCATCGTGTTGATAGGCGCCCTCCACGGTCTACTTTTTCTCCCCGTGTTTTTAAGTTTCGTAGGTGAGTGCGTCTGACGTTAATTTACACGCGTGTAAATGTGGTTTTTATTGTCTTCAGGTTCCATCAAGTACCGAAGCCACGAAAAATCCCGTTAAAACGACCGTATATTGTATATTTGTAGGTTATTCTTTAATAAAAACGATTCCAAAAACTCTGAGCGTTTAATTTGTCCAACCAAAACCGATCTGTGCCCGTGGCCACCGCGCTCGTAAGAAGAAGAATCCCGGCTTAACCTCCTTTAGCGTTTGTTTACCCATCTCGACCGTTTAAAACGTAGTAAAACATGGGCGAGCGCAAGGGGACCAACAAATATTACCCGCCCGACTACGACCCCAAAGTCGGGGGGCTCAACAAGTTCCTGGGGACGCACGCGTTGCGGGAACGCGCCAGGAAGATCCACCAGGGCATCATCATAATCCGGTTCGAGATGCCCTACAATATATGGTGCGACGGGTGCAAGAATCACGTGGGGATGGGGGTGCGTTACAACGCGGAGAAGACCAAAGTGGGCATGTATTACACGACGCCCGTGTACCAATTCAAAATGAAGTGCCACTTGTGCGACAACCATTACGTGATCAGGGCCGATCCCGCGGTAAGTTTACGCGCGCCTCGTGAAATATACTGTTTTTCCGCCTTGGAACATTCGGGGGTAGTTGTTAAGCTAAAAATATTCCAAGTGCGGAAAACAGCAAAATATTCGGTTATTATGCAAATCATTAACACTTTTAGTCACTACTCGTAATTCCTAAAATGCTCACTTATTATGCAAAATCAGTAACAGTTTGTAGTCACTAATAATTCTTAAAACGCTCAGTTATTATGCAAAATCACTAACAGTTTGTAGTCACTAATAATTCTTAAAACGCTCAGTTATTATGCAAAATCACTAACAATTTCAGTTAATATGCATAATTCCTAAAATGCTCAGTTATTATGGGAAATCACTGACAGCTTCAGTTGCTACGCATAATTCCTAAAATAGTTTGACTAATTACATATAATTCCTAAAATATTCGGTTATTATGCAAAATCACTAACAGTTTCAGTTACTACGCATAATTCCTAAAATGCTCAGTTATTATGCGAATCATTAACACTTTTAGTCACTACTCATAATTCCTAAAATGCTCATTATTTAACAAAATAAAAAATTCAATTGTAACTTTGACACCCTGTATCTCGGTTAATATCAACTTTTGAACTAATGTAATGTTCGTTAAATCGTAATATTTTTTACCTAGAGAATCTCCAATTTTGCCACGTACCAGTACTTCCTAACGCCCTCAAAAATTTTTAGAATTTGGACTACGTGATCATATCGGGAGCGAGGAGGCAAGAAAACAGATGGGACCCCACGCAGAACGGGCAAGTGGTGCCCGAGACGAAGGAAACTCAGAAACGGCTCTTCGACGACTCGATGTTCAAGCTAGAGCACGGCTCGGAAGACAAGAGCACCTCGGAGAGCGCCAAGCCGCGACTCGCGAAGCTTTTCAACCGAAACGAAGAAACATGGAGCGACTCGTACACGGCCAATCAAAAACTCAGGGCTGAGTTTCGGGTAGGGCGCGACCGCATCGAAAACGGGGCTGGTTTACAATAAATTAATCCTTAAATATTGCCTAGGGTGCCGCTAAGAGTCTCTTAATTAACCGGGGCTCGGTAACCTAACCTTGTAGTCTAGTTAATGAGCTTAAAATGACTTAAATATATATTAACGTTTCGATAGCAATTTTGATCTTTTTCAAAATATTATTTTCTATAATTGACATATACAACAATGATAACAATATAATAATAATAAATAACAAGTTAAAATTCCAGTCAAAAAAGAAGTAATAAAGTATATGAAATACCATGCTCTAATTGGGACAGGACAAACAAGCCAGTATTTAAAAAATAGAATCAACAGACATGAGTATGAAAAAAAAAACAGCTTTTCATACACGTCCATTGTGGCAACACCAAACACACATTTAACTTTCAAAAAGTTAAAGTCCTACTAACAGAACCTAACACCAAAAAGAGAGGACTTTATGACAGCATAGAAATCCAAAAAAACAAAAAATCATATACCATTCAATTTTAAACTAATAAAATTTTTGCTAAAAAAAATCCGCATAAAATATTCGCTGACAAATTATATTTATTTTAAATATGTAATTTGACGCAACATCAACTGTCAGAAAAAAGTCATCAATTATTATATATGTCACTTATACAAAATTAGAATATTTTGAAAATGATCGAAATTACGATCAAAACGATAATAGATATTTAAAGGAATTACGTTATTTGTTTTCGAGAGACCGAATACCCAAGAGAATTTGAAGAAAATATACACAAGACGGTCCAAGAAACTACACCTATAAAAAATTCACACACACATACATGGCACAACCTCATTTTTTTGCATTTTTGGATTCAGGAGGTTATGCTACGTACGTCTCATTTTTTTGGTTTTTTTTTCCTATTTTTTTTTTATTTTTGGAAATTGTGTCTAGGAGGCCGTGACTATCATAAATACAATTGACCGGGTCACCTGATCGTGGGAAAAATTGCAAATGAAACATTTCTTTACTTGTCTAATGGCAAATAGCATTTAATGTAATAAACTATAACTATAGTTTTTTCAAATGGCACCCGAGTGGAAACAAAAACTTTTTAAAACCGGCGCTTTTTTTGCAACATTTTGACAACACAAAAATTTTCAAAATCTGTTACCGAACCTGTTGCATAATATACTTTTTCTATGACCGTTAGTTTTTGGGTACATTTTCGCAAAACAACACGAATACATTCACTGACATGACTGTCAGTATTGACAAACGTCAAAATTCAAAGAAACGTCTCCGAAGACATCCGATTGCTCCCAAATCCGTGCGGTAAAATCCCGAAAATGTCCGAAGTGGCCCGCACGCTAGATCGGTGGGTAATTAGGTATTTTACAGACACTTTCTCATGTCACCCGGTATATATTGAGACGGAATTATGTATAAATCATTTTGCCGAAAAAGTGGACTGGTAAAAATTTCGAAAGTTATAAACAATCAAAAGTAGCGTTTAGTTTTTTGCTTACAGCTCGTAAACTTATATTTTTTTCGATTTTGAAAAAGAGATCCCTAAAGAGGAGGAAATTTACTAAAAAAAAGTTCCCATTCATCCGCGTCGCATGTTAGTGACTTACAATGAAAAAAAAATTGTTTGGGTATATAAAGTAGATTAAAAAATCTAAAATAATTACCGTTAGAATTTTTGATTAAAAGTAATTTCCCACGGTTGTTAATTAACAACTTACGTAACTGAAAGTGTTGTTTTCGTTTCTTTAGAGGAAGAACTGCGAACAGAAGGGTCTCGAGGAGAAAAGCCGAACTCTATCGAAGAAATCGAGTCTGGACATACCGTTGCTCGAGGAGAACGAAGAGGACAACAGGATCGCGCGTTTACTGTCCATGAAACCGGCGAAAACGTCGGAAGAAAATTCCGTGGAGATCAGGGCTAGGATAGTTTCCGAGTGTTTGTTGCCTTCCGCGAATTTTTCGCGAAAAAGGGAGACGGTCGCCGTGAAAATCCTCGAAAGCGACAAACCAAACTTGGGGGTGGTTTTGAAGAGGCGGCCGACCGCGGAAGAAGAAGCCGACGTTAAAAAAGCGAAAACGAACGTTTCTTTGGTGGGAGATTATAGTTCTAGCGGCGATTCTGACTGTTAAATAAGCGTTAATTAAATAAATAATATATTTTGTCGTTTTTACCGGTTTAAAATTATTTTTACCTTTTTACATTAAAGTTTTAAAACACCATAGAACACAGACAAATATTAAATCGGTTATAGATTGCAAACTTCTAGAATAGAAACAGCATCGCCAGCGCCATCTAGTGTCGCGTGAGGAACTAATAGCGAAGTTCGGAATCAAATTCCTTGTTTCTTTTTGTATTTTTAAATTCTGAATTGGAAATTTAGAAATATTCCTGTCCAATTTAGAGGATATAATTCCTAATATAACAAAAATATGTTTTTTATTTTCTCGCTTATTAAATTTCATTCGAAATTTTTCCCGCGGTGAAGGATGGTTCCGCCGAATACGGAATGGGCGGTAGATATTTTTTATGGTCCGTGGTCGGATTCGAACTACGTCCGAAGCCATTGAGGTTAGGTAGGTTCGACAATTTACTCAAGCGGCGATATGTTTCGATCTTATCGCGAGTTCATATCGTTTCATCGACGTCGGTGGGCGAAATGGACGCGTTCTCCTACGCGAACGTGGTGGATTTTAAAAACATGTGCCGCACCTGCCTGAGCAACCAAAACGCGAAGCACAAGATCTTCAACGAGAACATTAATATCGAAGACCGGTCCTTTCCCATTTCGGACCTGCTGAACATGCTGTGCGAGGTTAATGTAGGGCGGGTATTCGACGTCGAACCCAAGTTTTCAAGGTTTCCTTTTTAGTACAGCAAAACTTACCCCATCAAGATTTGCCTGTACTGCTTGGCCAGGTTGAAAGAGATGTACGAATTCAAGCTGCAGATCGAAAAGTCGCAGTCCATATTGGAAAGACACTTGGGCCCGCCTGACGTCGAATACAGTGCGCCGCCTTTCGAGAAACTCAACCCGCCCAGTCGGAAGAACGAAAATTTCACTCGAACCCGGAAAAAATCAAACGCAGCCCCTGCGAAGCGCGAAACGGGCGGTGTTACAGCTGAAACAACCGCAGTGCGCCCCGTTAGGTGCGCGTTTTGCGACAAAACGTTTAAATCGAAGCACATTCTGCAGGCGCACCTGAAACGTCACACGCTGAAGGGTAAATTCTTGTGCACTCTCTGCGGCAAGGGGTTCAATTCGCAGGGGTGTCTAAGCAGGCACGCCCCCGTGCACACGGGCGAGAGAAAGTACGCTTGCGACGTCTGCGATAAGAGCTTTCTGACGTCCAACAACCTCAATGTCCACTCGAGAATTCACACCGGCCACAAGCCTTACCTGTGCAACGTGTGCGGCAAGTCATTCGGCAATCGCACGGGCTTAAATTTCCACTTGCGCACCCACAGCAAGGAGAAACCTTACACGTGCGACGTCTGCGAGAAAACTTTCGCCGCTCAGAGCCACTTGGATTGCCACAAAATGATTCACACCGGTAATGTACCTCACTTAACCTTAGTTTGTCTTTCTTTGGGAACGCCGAATAGCGATTGGTCCGTTTGAACCGGGCGCCGATCGCGACGTCTCATTGGCCGATTCGACACGCCGACGCCACGGACCACGGCACCGAGTGCGCGTCCGCCGTTCGATTTTTGTGATCCGTGGCGCATCGCGTCCTAATTTGTGTTTAGGTTTCCAAATAAACCCACATCGCGTTTTGGATTTGGGTCCATCAAAGAAGCGTTTTAATAATATTTTTCTCTCGTTGTGTCCGAAAATAGTTCATTTTTTAAAAAAATGAGCAGAAAGTTATCTTTTTTAAAATTAAAGTTATTCTGACATAAAAAAGAGTATACACTCATGCCTCAACCACCATATTCACCGGATATGGCCCCTTGCGACTTTTTCCCGTTCCCAAAACCCAAGGTTTGGAATGATCGAGGAGATAAAGAAAAAATCTTTAGAAGAACTCAATGCTATACCAGAAAGTGCTTACCAGAAGTGCTTTGAGGACTAGTTTGAATGGGACAACGTTAATTTTGATAAATAAATAAATAGTTTTTGATAAAACCTTACTTTTTGAACACGCTTCGTTTCACTTTTCCGTTGGTCGAAATCCTGCAAGCAACAGGTTCGTAATTTTGTGGAAGTTTTACCCATTTTATGGATTTGGAACCTGTATGCTGCTTTTAATTTGGTCGTCGTGCCTTATCTTGGGTTCTGGGTTTGCTTTACCTTTCCTTTCGGCACTACAACCTCCCGAAAGGGTATATTCAGTAAGTTTTTTTTCCGTTCCTCTATTTTGTTCAGAGTATGCCGCAATTCGGTATCCATGGCATCGGACCGGTTTCTCTAACGTCCAAGACGAGTAGAAAATCAGAACCCGTGTAACGGTAATCTATTTCTGTTTTATTTCACTATATCACTAATTTTAGTGCATAAATTTGCACACTCCTAGACATCCGTTACGACCTGCTCGCTGCTTTACTGAGTGTTCCCTGTGTACATTTTTCTTTTTTTTTTAATATTCCAATTTTCTAATTTAAATTTTCAAAAACAAAAAAAACGTGGAAAGTCACTTAAAACTTCGCCAGTCGCGTCAGGAATATTCGTAGTTCTGTAAAAATGACGTCATTAGGATTTTATTTCAGGCGAGAGGCCGTTCGGGTGCGCGCACTGCAACAAAGCGTTCATAAAAAAGTGCGACCTGCGCAGACACGAGGCGACCCACACCGGCGTCAAACCGTTCGGGTGCGATTTTTGCGGCAAACATTTCGTCACGAGAGTCTACCTGCAGTACCACGTGACGCTGCACACCAACGAGAGGCCCCACGCGTGCGCCATCTGCGGCAGGGGGTTCGTAAGGCGCTGCGACTTGAATAATCACCTCGTCAAGCGTCACGGTTCGACGGAAGCGGCGTGTTTTGGTTAATTAGCATTGCTTAATGTCACCCTTTAGGGCTCAGGATGTGATTTTGTTGGATTATAGCAAAGCCTTCGATACCTTAAATCATAGTCTTCTTATTTTAAAGTTAAGGTGACTTTCTGCCAATTCTAAGGGGAGTTCCGCAGGGCAGCATTTTGGGACCTTTATTGTTCTCTATTTACACCTCTGACTTCTCTAGGCACTTAAATAAATGCTATTCTCATCAGTATGCAGATGATATGCATGCTATTTATTATTATTGTTATTATAGTTCACTTGGTTGAATAAAAACCACACCCAAACGGAGTTTTATTGCGTCACAAGAAACAAAATCAATACGTGACGTAAGCGCGGGTCCCGTAGTTGTCGTAGGCGTACCTCCAGGTCTCGTAGCGGCGCCCCTTGGGCGTGGTCGACACTTCCAGGCTGTCGTTTATGTTTAAATAGTAAAAATCTTCGCCGACCGTGGGCCACGTGACGTTTACCAGGTCGTCGGACCCATCGTCGGGGGTCGGGTTCCTACGACATTTATTTAGAGGTTATGTAGACTTCGCGTAGGCGTACCCACAGGTATTTCACGAAGTTGGTCCACATCCGTACCATCCTGAGGTGGGTGAGCACGTCCGACTCGGCGAAATTCGCATACTGGGTGTTGTCGTACGAACCGGACCGAGTGACGAACAGATATTTCATTTCTTCCCCGTGGCCGACCGAGTCCGCACCTTTACGGATCGCATTAGTAGCCAAAACGTTCGGAAACATGCGAAGATACGTTTTAAAATCGCAAAATAACGCGTTAACGTTTTAAAAGTATAAATGTTGCCATTCACGCCGGTCCGAGGCTGGACGGTCCTCGGCGAAAGGGGGAGGGAATCTTTTTTTTTTCAGATCGGTTTGAAGAAGTCAAAGACAGAGATCGTGGCGGCGAATGAAAGTGTGCTGTGGGCGATGCTCGATAAAAGTACCCTTTTTTGCGTGTGCAATTTTTATTCTTCGCCTTCGGTTCGGGTATTTTAATTTTAACCAAAAATCAATCAAATTTGTTATTCTTTTGACGCTTATGCAACCAGCTTGACGCCGACAACCATTGTCGGTTGCGGAATATTCTGAATACATGTTTTTTTTTTGGAAATGAAGCCTCCACAGCACTAACTAAACTTATTTGTGTGTGGTGCAGTCGTAGATGTTACTAAACTCCTTTACAAAGTTCATTAAAAATTTGCCTCATTTTTTATACATTTGGCTTCTGAATTTTGACGAAGAATATGTTTCGACGCACAGAGTTCGTCCCTGTACGCGTAGGATCAATGAACGCCGATTATAATCTTTCCTTTTTTTGGGAACGAATGGTTTATTTATGCAGGATAATGTTCGTCCCCACGTGGCTAGACCAGTTACAGAGTACGTGAACTCTCTAGCTATTCCATTGATGGAATGGCCACCTCGTAGTCAAGATATAAATTCCATAGAGCATCTATGGGATATGATAGTAACGTTGTAATATCCATAAGTGATAGGAATTTTCGGAAAAACAAATAACGTTTTTATTACACCCGGTATAAATCGAAAGTGACCTTTTTATCATTATGTCCAGAAGTTTATGTTTCCTTCCACATTTGAGCGATATAAAGGAAATATGTTTTTACTTGGGAAGACTGGCCGAATAAACTTGGTAGACTAACCAAAACTAACCAAAAGAAGAAGAGTTTTTTCAAAACTATCTGTGCCTACATTTATATTCTGTACTGCATTAAAAATGTCTGATTTGCTGATAACCTAACCTAACTAGTGCGTGTGATAAAGTGTTCGTGATTTTGCAGGTTTTAATTATAACTTTTTAAAGTCCAAAGACACGATCAACAAGATCTTTATGTATCAATTTTTTTCGAAATTTTTGAAATTGTTTAAATGTTATTGTCATGATAACATGTGCTATCGAAATCATGTACTGGTGGTTAATGCAGGGATAGTTTCATGACTCACGTGTTTGATTTAGTCAAAAATCTTACTTGCTCCCTGTAGATCATTGCAAAATGAAGTGCAATCAAATGGGTTAGAACTTTTAAGCCCCTACTATTCATTGACGATATATCAGACACCCAGACACCATTGTCTTCCAGTTTTGGTTATTTTAGTTATAAACTCTTCCTTCAATTTTATCTGTGTGTCAAATATCGAATTTCTTCTTTATCGGTCTTACCGTCGATGCTGGTGTCCAGGTTACCCATTTTGCCCTTGTACGAGAACTCGTAGAAGTAGACGGGGGAGTATTTGGCCTGAAGTTCCCCGTACCTGATGATGGCTCTCGTGAACTGATTGTCGCTGAAATACTATTACTCTCGATGATAACCATCCGAAACGGGAAAACTGCAAATGGCGCTTACGCTAACTACCGCCCCCACGTTATCGGAAAACGTATCGTTTCCGACGTAAGCCTCCTTGATCAGCTGACCGACAACGGTTTTGTTCTGGCTGGACAACGATCCTAGATCAGCGGGTATCAGGTACACCGAGCTAGAATCGTAATGGGCCGCCAACTCTTTCAAATTTTCCACGTCTGCAATCATTTGCGGACTTTTAAAAGTGGTACCGGAAGATGTATAGGGTACCGTAATACTATCTACAAACCTTCCGGATTCATCCTGAAGCAGAAGTAGCAAAAGAAACTCTACAGTGTATAAAAAACACTGAATGTCCTATAACGTTCTACAAGACGGTTATATAATTCTTGCGATAGAATTTACTATTTACAAAACTTCTAGATTTCTTCAACATGTCGACCATAAAATTGTTTTATCATGCGTCACATATTCAAGTTTTTAAAGCTGCATTATAAAAGTATAACAAAACGTTTGTATAGTATTAGACCAAATTATATTGTAAGCGTGTTATAATATAAATCTTGGGTTGTGAATTTTATAAATGGACGTATGGCGATTTATAATGCAACTATTTTCTCCTAAATAAATGCCTTAAACAATGTTTCATTGTACATTTCTATATTCGTATAACGAATAATATTTACACATTATACAAGTAATTTTGACAGAGTAATGATATTTTGAGATTCGCTAAGAGTAAAGATTGCCAGAATAATTAAGTTCTACTTTTAACATTACTAAAATGCGAAGTTATAGAATATATAGCATATATGGAACATATAGCAAGCGATTGGTATGGATGTCTTACGAATTTTCATATGATATCCGAACGTTATGGATATGGATATCATGTGTATTTTCATGTGATATCCAAACGTTATATCATATGTATTTTCACATGATATTCATACGTTATGGATATGGATATCGTACGAGTATGTATTTTCATATAATATTCAAAATTGATGGATATGGATATCATATGTATTTTCATGTGATATCCAAACGTTCTACACGTAAAATAATAAACTAAAAATAAGATTCGATGAGACTCGGCGCTTCACTCTTTTTGTAAACTTGTTCTTAGAAATTTTTATTAGTGTTTGCAAAAAATTGTTTGAATTTAAACATCTCGGTGCAACTATGTTAGGTTATGTTCACTTCATCGTTTTATAACGCAGTTCTTAGAACGCATTTATTTCGATACATATACTGTTTTATCCACTTGTAAAGAAGGAGATCTTATAGTATCCAAAGTTAAGTGTTGCTATGCTATATGCATTATACAGCTTTAATAAGACACGGTGGAGTAACTATTTTATAGTGCTGTCACTACTAGTTGTATGGCATATTACTCGTACAAAACGCTCATACAAAATGTGTACAGGTCTTATAAAATATGATTTTTGTTATTGTATAAGCTCGCTCATTTTAAAAGAAATTGTTTTGCTAGGGAGTCGTTATTATATATACCTGAGGCTTTTCCTATTTCTTCTTCCGAGTTTATCCCTATGATGAGCGGCACTCTGCTGACGTCACCGGTGCTGACCAGCTCGTACATCGACCTAGTAAGGAATGCGTCCACGTGGTCTACCTCCAATACCGGCAACGTCAGGCCCTGAAGAAAACAATTCGAGTGAAAACGTCACACCTCCAAATCGGAAACAATTAAAACGCGTTGTTTGTTTGCCAGATCACCACGGCAACGAAATCACGCAATCAATTTTGATTGGTGCGGAGTGTTCTGAACTGTGCAGCGGCTAGTGAGCTTTTAAAAGTGCTGAAATAGGAGTATCGACAAACTACTGAGTTGACGAAAGGAACTTCGAACAAAAATTTTATTGAAAATCCTGAAAATACAAATTCTCAACTAGGAAACAAGGAAGAAAGAACGAAATAAAAATATCAGCTGATGATGTCAAGCAATCCTCTATTAACACGGCAAACAAGACAGTCTCAGCAATAGCAGATACGGACCACCGTAACTATCGGGAATTTTTTGTTGTCCATGTGCGAAGGTTTATGGTAAATGGAAAAATTTAATTTGTTTTGCGTTTTCGTCATAGTTAACTGTTTTCCGTTGAAATTTCAAAAAAAAAAACTATTAAACACTCATACTGACAACTTTAAATGTATTGTTAATGCATGTCTGGGCAATAAATTATTTTTAATTCTTATTTCTTTGTCTCTGGTGGTATCACTGGGGAAAATTGGAGGTTCACCTTACCAGCTGAGTAGATGCGTAGTCTATTTCTCTGGCAGACACGTTTTGCAAATAGTCGAGCAACTGGCCGCTGTCTGAGCTAGGATAGTCGACGCCATCGTTGATGATTTTCGCCAGGGTTTCGACGTAAGTCTTGGGGGCTTCGAGGTAGCCCCAGGTACAGAGGGCCGAACCGCTCTCCGCTATGGCTGCCCTGTACAAACCTGCGACACCCACAAACATCAACATCTGTGTATTACTACTATTATTACAGTACAGAATACCAAAAAAAGCATACCCTATGTAACAAAAAAGCTTAAAATAAGTTACCAGCAAAGCAAACTGCAAGGATCGTTTTTACCCGGCGTTTAAGACATTCAAATGGCATAGGCAAAATATCCAAATCAAGGAAGTGACTATAGATATTCAACACACTTTGTATTTTAGTATTTGGAGTAATTAACAGGTCTGCCAGTTTTCAACGAATATTTTGCACTTGCACTTGCACTTCAAGCGTGATACTGGAACTGCAGTTTAGTGGATCTTTTTTGACGTTTAATACGAGGCCAACTTCTATATTTCGGGATTTATAATATTAAACCATAAGCTACCAACTTTTGCATTCGATACAACCAATCATCAAAGCACTTTTCCCACATCGAGTCGGGCACCTTCAAAACATGTATTTAAACGCACCGATCGCTCCGTGTAGTGTCAAAATTCGTCGCCCACGTCATTTATTCTTAATGTGTGGGAATAAAAAGAAGTCATTAGGTGCTAAATCAGGACTGTATGGTGGAGGGCTCGTCAAATCAACATTTTTAATGCACAAAAAGATCTTTGTTGAGAGCTAGCAACTTTCGGTAAGCAAACGGTTGGTAAGTTTTCCTGAAAAAAGAGGCTACCATTTGTTTCGAACTAGTATATATATATCCCTTTTTACCATCCCCCGTCCCCCGGGGGAACTCATGAGATAGCAAATTTACAGATTCCCAAACAACCTCAAAAAAAAAATCGAATTTAGTTCGGCTAGTGTCCGAGAGATGTCGCGCAATAACAGTTCAGGTTTTGGTCGCCAGATGTCACACGATATCATAGACGTGTTTGGAACCACCGCGATCGTATTTTTTTAGCATTTCCTTCGACCTATCAACACGAACCTTTTTTCGCGCTGATGTCAACTTGATGTCAACGCGAACAAATTTTTTTAGCTGCCAAATGTTCATGCAAAATTGTATGTACGCTGGTCCCACTAGTGCCCAATATCATGGTAAGTCACATGACGATCCTGCAAAATTAGTTTCCGCACTACATCAGTATTTTCTTGGACGACTTTCACGAAATTCATTCTTAAGAAAACTACAACTACGACTGAAGTCCGAAAACGAGCGATAATCAGTAGTCCTAGATGGTGTTTTAACTTCAAAAGTCGAATTAAGTTTGTCGATGCATTGTTGTTGGGTTAGTCCATATCTAAAGTTAAGTTCCATTTTTAACAGTCACATTTTTTAAATTTATCACAAACAATACTCTTTCGTCGAAACCTAACTGCGTAAACCTAACCTCAAAATGTCAAACTTCCCTATAAAAACGTCAGTCGCCAGATAACGGGACTAGTTTAAGAAAATGCCGAAATATAAAAGGCAGCCCTCGACGGTGACGTCACGAAATTACAAAAATTACCCCTGGACTTCTCGCTCAGCAGGTGGTACGTCACCGAGGCGCCTCCGGCGCTTTGCCCGTGGATCACTATCCGCTCCCCGTCGCCCCCGAACGCCCCCACGTTGGCCCGGGTCCATTTGAGCGCCAAATTTTGATCTTTGAGGCCGGCGTTGCCGGATACCACCAGGTCGCCGGTCGATAAGAACCCGAACGGACCCACGCGGTAGTTGAAACTGACGAATACGATGCCGTTCTCGACGAACCATTCGGGACCGCCATTGCCGTAGGCGGCGTAGCCGCTCCTGAAAGCGCCGCCGTAGATCGAGAAGATGACGGGCAGCTTTTCGAACTACGGTGACGAATTGTACCAGTTGAAATTGTGAAGCAACACACTAATACCATTTTCAAACCCCCGATCTTGAAATACTTCGAAGAAAACGCCGACATTGATGCCATATAACTATTTATGATGGCCCTACTACGATAACAATTGATGCGCCGTGGTCGGCATTGGTATTTTCGTAGACGAGGTAATGATCCTCCGAGCATGCCTCTACGTTTCACCTTCTAAACTGCACTTTTCCATCACTTTTTTTTTTAAATTAACATTAACAGTAACAAAGTACCAGTTATCTTCTCCTTCTTTAGCATTTTTCTTTACGAGTTCCTTGTTATCGAGCATTCTATTGCCAAATTTCCGCAGTTCTTATTTTCTCAGTTCTTGTGACTTGTAGACATCTTCTCATAAAGTCCTATGTTCTTATTTTGTTTCTTATCGTTGTTACTTCTGCTTTATTTAGGGTTTAACCATTTTACAAAACTTTTGCATTCACTAAAGGCAAATAAAGAGAAAGACAGTAGTATAACAGCTAGAACCAAACCAGAACTAACCAAAACTAACCAACCATTCAAAATCTGAAAGAGAAAAACTCAATCACTTTGAAATCTTCTGGTCTGAAGAGTACCAATATTGAAGGCCTTAGTTATAATATTGTGGTTGATCTGATTCCCATTATAGATGTTGATATGGAGACCATGGAGACCATGGAACCAAAGACCAGTCTAAAGCAATGCAGAGTAAGTTGTCCACTATTGCGTACAACAAACCCCAGGACCCGCATGGACCTGTTTACCATTTCCGCGAAATGTATCACACTTTCCACATACCTCTCAAGCAGCAGAGCATCCTCACGCGGTCTAACCCTCCTAAATATCTTCAAATCATCCGCAAACAAAAGACACTGCGATTCGGAAACTACACCAACAATATCATTTATAAACAAGTTAAAAAGGATGGGTCCGGTATGAGAACCTTGGGGGACTCCTGGAAAAATATCAATTTTAACTGAGTTCAATAAAAATTGTTGGTGGATGAGTAAATTTCTTATGGTAGATGTACTAAGTCATGCTGTTGATCAGTCGTCAGAATTCCCCTGCAATGCCACGAAAGTCTCTCACAAAATAATTTATCTAGGTGATATTTTGCAATATGCTTTTTTTTGTTTTCTTCATTAAGAGTATTGTTCCATGTCAGTCCATGGAGTGCTCTTGTGGCTTGTTTTCCTCGTCCTATTTTGGTGTCCGTGGGTGTACCTCAAGGCTCTATTCCAGGTTCCTTATTGTTTTCAATGTACAGCTCAATTTCTCTCAACTACTCGTGTCACTATATATATCGCGAAATAACTTTGATTCGCGCGTTCCATTGGTAAATGAAGCAAAAAATTTGGGCGCATTTCTTTCGTCTACGGTCATATCAAATTACAAAAATTGAAAGCTAAAATAAATGCAGCTTTTTTCTTTTTTTTTCTCATGTATACTGTGCTGCTATGCTTTTCTGTGGCTCCAGCTGTCGCTATCGAGGTTCTGTCTCTATTTCCTATTTCTGTCTGTTAATGAACGACGTTACGTATTCGTATCTTCAATAGTTTTTAACTTTTTCTTCTTCTTACCAAGAACGAAGTGCAGAAGAGAACCTATTATGCTCATTGACAGTTAGTAGCATGAGAACGCAATTTACACCGATAGTCAAGCGGCTATAAGGGCCCTGCAATCTAATAAAATAACATCCAAGTTAGTTCTGGACTGCCATTAGGCATTAAACGAGATAGCAAGCCAGAACAAAGTTACTCTATCATGGGTACCGGGGCACGGAGGGCATAAAGTTAATGAAGGCGCAGACGACGCAGCCCGCGAAGGGTTGTCAATGCGCCTGATTGGACCAGAACCCTTTTGTGGGGTGGCCAAACCCGTTGCAAAAACAGCCATCTACTAAGGGGCCTACAAAGCTACAATAGAAAAGCCGTAAGAATACTCGTAGGTCTGCTGACGGGCCACTGCAGACTTAAGAGGCATCTAAGCTCGATGGAAGTGGAAGAAAACACAGAAGACGAGGAAACAGCCGCACACGTACTGTGCCACTGCGAAGGCCTAGCGAGAGTGCGTTTCCATCTGCTGGGCGATACCAAACCAGAGGCAGAGAGCTATACGAGGGAGCCATTATCGAAGTTGTGGAGTCTGGTTGGAGAGACGAACCTGGATAAAGCCCTATAGCTATGGAGAAAGTCACAATAGATCCTCTGGGTCGCAGTGACGGACAGGCTGACTGCTAGCTCTCCCAACTGTTAATCTAATCTAATCGACTTATAAAATGCAGGCGATGCGAAGTCCTGCATTGTTCCTTTCACACACTTGGAAATAGTATTCAAATCTCTCTGCAATACGTCCGCATGTGTTGAAGGATTTTCAAATAATTTAACCTTAACCTTGATATCTTTAAGAACAATAAAATTAATGGCAATATTAATCTAATGTAAACAGCTGCAGCAATTGCATCGTGCCTAGCTTGGGCTTTGGCTTACCGAGTGTAGGGTGGGCGTGAACACGTTGATATACAGGCAATCCTCACTCTCGCTGTCTTTGTCGTAAGTGACAGCGTAGCATATGTTCGAGTCCTTAGTAGCGTCGTAGACTCCGTCCCAGTTGTCCGGCTCTTCGGGCGCCTGAAAACGCCTGTCATTAAAATACTTCGAGCTTTGCAACGTTGCCATATCTACTCGAGCGCCCCGTATAAGTGTATAAGTTCTTGTTTTTGTGTTCTTGGACCGTTCTGTATATATTAAAATCAAGACGTTTTTCTTGGGTATATATCATGCTTAAATAAATAAACCTAAACCTAACAAATTTAATAAAGCAATGGAAGAATATCCGCTTCCTCATTGTTTTCATTCATTTCGGGAATATCTTGAGGGTAATCTCGTTTTCGATAAAAAAGGGGAACCATTAGTTGTTGGTTTTGTTTTTCCGATTATTGCGCTTATATCTGAAATACGTCTGCGCGCTTACGTGCATACGTATTTGTTTAATAGAATTTAATAGAATTTTCTTTTGTTTACCTTGATATTTCTTAAAACAAAAAAGGTTCTTATTGAAAAGCAACTCAAAACCGGACGCTCCCGGCAGATACAGGATGCAATTTAAATTTTTTCAAAAACAGAAACATTTTTTACGTTTTGCAGGTTATGTTCGTCATCGCGGATACTTCTTCTGTCATTCTATAAGGTTGTTCGGAAAGTCATTTCGTTTTTTCCCGTCAGAGGACTTAATTACGTTTTTTCGAAACCAACTTCACACTTAAGCCGCATAACCATTACATGTCTTGAGAGCTGATATTGCAAGGCTTGTGTGTGAAAAAGTTCTATTAATTCTACGCTGTAGTTTTTGGTTCGTGCCCTTTTAAATATGGAGAGCAATAAGCAGCATTTTCGTCATATTTTACTTTTTTACTTCAGAAAAGGTAAAAATGCTGTCCAAGCGAGAAAAAAATTGACGGATGTGTATGGAGAAGGCGTGTTAACAGTACGCCAGTGCCAGAACTGGTTTGCAAAATTTCGATCCGGCAATTTTGATGTCGAAGATGCACCACGGTCTGGAAGGCCGGTCGAAGCTGACAAAGATGCGATAAAGGTATTAGTTGATGCAAATCGGCGAATAACCACACGAGAGATCGGTGAAAGATTAAATTTGTCGAATTCGACTGTTTATGGCCATTTGAAAGGCATGGGCTTAACCTCGAAGCTCGATGTGTGGGTGCCCCATGTCCTTACGGAGCGAAATTTGTGTCGTCCCGTTGACGTGTGTGATTCGCTCCTCAAACGTCAAGAAAATGATCCATTTTTGAAGCGGATTATTACTGGGGACGAAAAATGGGTTGTATACAACGATGTTAAACGCAAGAGGTCATGGAGCAGAAAAGATGAAGCGGCTCAAAGCGTGTCAAAAGCCAACATTCACCAAAAAAAGGTGATGCTCTCCGTTTGGTGGGATGTCAAAGGAATCGTTTTTTTTGAGCTTTTGCCGGACAATACAACGATTAATTCAGAAGTCTATTGTCATCAACTGGACAAATTGAATGATTCACTTAAAGAGAAGAGGCCCGAATTAATCAACAGGAAGGGTGTAGTGTTCCACCAGGATAATGCGAGACCTCACACAAGTTTGGTCACTCGCCAAAAACTTTTACAGCTTGAATGGGACGTACTGCAACATCCACCATATTCTCCAGATCTGGCGCCTTCCGACTACTATTTGTTCCGGTCCCTGCAAAATTTTTTGGATGGCAAAACCTTTACCTCAAATGAAGATGTCGAAAACCACCTGAACCAGTTTTTTGCCAGCAAGGACCAAAACTTTTATGAGAGGGGATTTATGTTACTGCCAGAAAGATGGCAAAAGGTGTTGGACCAGAATGGCCAATATATAATTTAATAAAATATTTATTCATTATACGAAAACTGTCTTTCATGTTCCCCAAAAAAAACGAAATGACTTTCCCAACAACCCAATAGTGGCAATGGGCCACATCGTTACCAATGCTGGCTACAGTTTTCTTACATAGAATACGCCCATATTGCTGTCGTTTAAAGCCTTAACAGTATTGTTACTTAACCATGATCATAACAATGTTGTATCAAATCAAATCAAAGCATCATGGCAGCACTGTCGCTTCCTGCCCCATAAAGGATATTGTTAAAGTCTACAACTAACCAAAACTAACCAAAAATCAAAGAACGCCTGAGTCTAAGGCATAAAATTTCCGATTTCAGCCATATTTATGAGTAATGATATTTCGTTTAATCTTAAATCGACGTGCAAGAACTGATGAATGAAACTCTGTAGATTGGATCTTTTCATTTGATGACTTTTACTAAATCAGTTCTGTGTGTAAAATACCAGCTTATTAAAAAAAAAAGTGCGATGTGGTTCTTCTTCAAAATGGCGACGCCATGGCCTCCTATGGCAACAACATATTTTTCAAACGCCCACCTTGTGCCGTTTACCGTAAATACCTTTCTAGCGATTGTTCCGCGACAAATAGAACAGGAAATATTGTCAAAAAAACATACGCCGCTACCCATCGAAAGGGAAACAAAATCATTCATCCCGGATATTCGGGAAAACGATCTTTTAATAAGGGCGACATGGCGGACCCGATAGAATTTCGCCCTAAATGTTTCTTTTTTTGAAAAAATTTAAATTGCGTCCTGTATCGACCGAGAGCGTCCGGTTTTGAGTCGCTTTTCAATAAGAACCTTTTTTGTTTTTAGAAATATCAAGGTAAACAAAAACAAATGTAAGGTTAGTAGCCAATTTTTATTCCAAATGACGTATAAAACAAAACACGTTGTTGTTTACTAATATGTCAAACATAACCACATTTTTATTTGTCAGTCAGGGCACTCTTGCAAATTATATAAAAATTTGTCAAAAACGGGCGGTTTAAAATATAAAGTGTGCTACATTATTGTAATCCGAAAAAGAAATTCTATTAAACACATACGTATGCACGTAAGCGCGCAGACGTATTTCATATATAAGCGCAATAATCGGAAAAACAAAACCAACAACCAATGGTTCCTCTTTTTTATCGAAAACGAGATTACCCTCAAGATATTGAGGAAGCGGATATTCTCCCATTGCTTTATTAAATTTGTTAGGTTTAGGTTTATTTATTTAAGCATGATATACGAAATGTATGCGCAGCAAGGAAACACGAAATAAACCAATATGCGTAAGGATAATAGAACGATATATAAACGAAAGTATAAAACACGTAAAGTCACGAAACAAATTGAAAAAGTGTACAGGCTACGCTGGTTTAAAATTAAAAAAAAAATGGGGACAATGCTTTCTAGACTATTCTCTATGGTCCATACCAAAAAGCATCCGGGGATCCTTTTTCTTGAAGAGTGTGTTGTCTGGAAATGGTGTACACTTGATGGGCTTAACAAAATATGTAAAATCACGTATGGGAATGGGGAAAGAGAACCCGAAACCGATCCTTGTGGGACACCGTGACGTTGGGGTAAAAAAGAACAGGTATGGTATGTTCATAGATATAAGAAAGTGACCAATTGCTTTTGAATGGGGTTATCCAAGGGTGGTCATTAATATACAATGCAACAAGATTTTTACATAAAGTTTCGGAATTTAAATTCAGGTAAAATTGTGGTCCGTAATAGAAAATAACTTTATACCTACCTGTGTTTAATATTCTTTGGTTTGGTATACTAGTTTAAGTTTATTAGTAATAATTCTTATTTCGTGTGTAATACAGCGTGTGTTGAATCGTGTGCGAATTATGAAAAATATGTGCAAGTCTAGTGTATCTCAGGAGATGCTCCCGCCCACGAATATATATATATATATATATATATATATATATATATATATATATATATATATATATATATATATATATATATATATATATATATATATATACAGGGTTTTTCACTTAAAACTCCGCACGCCAATAAGTCCAAAACGAAAAGAAATATTTAATTTATGTAAAAAGTAGTCAAAGTGTGGGGTCAAGTAGATATTTCCTAAAGTTTAAAAAATTCGACGCCTGCAAAGAGCTGGGCGTCGCGACGCGTCGAAAAATTATTCGATTGCAGAGACTTTGGAAATACGCGCATACAAAAGTACATATTATTTAAAAACTTTTTTGTTAGTTACTCAAACTTATTTACTTTACCCGTTTCTAAGTTATACCGATTTAAAGTAAACATTTCTTGATTAATATAAAATGTGATTAACGCTTATTTTTACAAATATGCCATGAATGTTAGTTACTATGGCAACCATTGTCACATTTTGTCACAAGAAATATCCAAATTTGTTCGGTTTAAAAAAAACTAAGAATTATTATGTGAAAATGGTGCAATTTAGCAATGAGGAAAAAGTAGACATGTTACTGGTGTTTGGAGAATGCAGATGCAATTGTAGAGAAGCAAAAAGAGTTTACGCACGGCGTTATCTGCATAGAAGAGTCCCCGATGCAAAAACCTTTTCAAGTTAATGTAAAAACTTAAGAGAATATGGCAGCTTCATAAAACCTAAAAGAGATAGGAACAGGACGGCTACAAATGATGAAAATACTGCTGCTGTAATTCAGCAGGTTGATAATAACCCCAAGATATCCCTATCAGAGATAAAAGAAAATACCGGTGTTAATATAAGATCTTCGTGGAGAATTCTACATAGAAACTCTTTTCACCCGTACAAAAGTAAACTAGTTCATAAACTAGAACCAGGCGATTATGCTAGAAGAATGTATTTCTTAGCGACATTGTCCCATTTGTATAGCCAAGATGCAAATTTTCTCTCGAAAATTTTATGGAGCGACACAACTATCGTTTTTGGTCCGAAAACCATCCTCGTTCGATTACAGAAAGAGGTAACCCACGAATTTTTAGTATTAATGTTTGGTGCGGCATATTAAATGGATTCCTTATTGGACCTTACTTTTACGAAGGAACTTTAAATGCAGATCGCTATTTAAGATTTCTTCAAACTACACTTCCGGAACTATTAGAAGAAGTGCCTCTTGACACTAGAATGAATATGTGGCTACAGCAGGATGGAGCGCCTGCACATAATGCCCAAATAGTAACGAGGTATTTGAACCGAGAATATCCCAATAGATGGTTTGGTACTAATGGACCGGTAAGGTGGCCGGCGAGGTCCCCGGACATTACACCACCAGATTATTTTATTTGGGGCTACCTAAAAAACGTTATCTATGAAGAACCTATCGAAGATATGGCTGATCTCATTAACAAAATTAGTGCAGCGTGTGCCGCTATCACAAGGACTCTCCTACAAGTGACTCAAGCTCATCTGTTAAAAGTTTTTGATAGTTGTGTTCGAGCAGATGGACATAATTTTGAACAAAATTTTTGAAATGTCTTATTATGTAGTTAATTGCAATAATAATTTTGGATATTAACTTGTAGGTATTTTACTGTTTTTTCATTTATTTATCATGTTATCAGAACTAAATCGATAAAAAATAATAAATAAAATCATACTAAAATAGTTGAAATCTATTGTTTGTAATTGCACTTAAAACAACTGCGATAACAATGGCATTCATGGCATACTTGTAAAAATAAGCGTTAATCACATTTTTTATTAATCAAGAAATTTTTTAAATTGGTATAACTTAGAAACGGGTAAAGTAAATAAGTTTGAGTAAATAACAAAAAAGTATTTAAATAATATGTACTTTTGTATGCGCGTATTTCCAAAGTCTCTGCAATCGAATAATTTTTCGACGCGTCGCGACGCCCAGCTCTTTGCAGGCGTCGAATTTTTTAAACTTTAGGAAATATCTACTTGACCCCACACTTTGACGACTTTTTACATAAATTAAATATTTCTTTTCGTTTTGGAGTTATTGGCGTGCGGAGTTTTAAGTGAAAAAACCTGTATATATATATATATATATATATATATATATATATATATATATATATATATATATATATATATATATATATATATATATATATATATATATATATATATATATATATATATATATATATATATATATATATGACGTTCCTGATTCTTAGCAATTTTTTCAATGCAAGGAAGCTGCCATTGGAAGTTTACCTGAAATCTAAGGGGACCCAGCGGTGGCTTCGCGTACGGCACCCCCAGAAAAGCGTAGAACGTCGAATTGTTAGGGGTCGTCAGGGTTTTCCCGCGGATCTTGCCGTTGGGAAGCTGCACGGTAACGTCCGCCAGCTGAAATCGCCGATACGAAAAAGTCGTTAAATTTCAGAAAAACTCGCGGAGGCGGCAACGCCGCTTTAGGCGCTGGCCGCGTTTCCGCATCGCACTTTCTTCTGGAACTTAACTTCTTTGGGCGATAGCTACTTACCACGACCCCCGAAAACGACACAATCCAAAGTACTCCCGAAAAAACGACCATGTTTTGAATTCGCAGCGGATCGAATGGGCGCGTATCTAATTCGCCAGTCGATAAGCGCGTTATCTTTGGAGTGGCTTTCGAGTGAATGCGGAGCATGCGGAAAAAAAATAAGAAAACGAAAATTTGTCCACTAGGTGGTCGTAGTCCAGGTAAAATACAAAGAATACAAAAAATAGTAAATTATATTGAAGTATTACTGAGATATGTGCGCCCATGGGTCGTGTTCCCAGTGGTTCCTCGTGCCGTGAACTTATCTCAAAAACCTTAGAATTAAAATCCTTAAAGCACGCTGCTGGAAATGGGTTTACCTTGCCTTACCAACTTTGAAAGTGTAGTCTGTCCCAATTTTCATCGTGTTGGCTTTCAACTGATCCTCCCCAATAAAATTTTAACCTATTATTTTATTGGGTACAGCCATTAACAAAGAATTTATTTCTACCTGAGTGACAAGTCAAAGGAGGCCAGGTATGGTCTGTTCATAGATATAAGAAAGTGATCAATTGCTTTTGAATGGGATTATCCAAGGGTGGTCATTAACAATGCAATAAGATTATTACCTAAATTTTATTAAGGTAAAATTGTGGCCCGTAATAGAAAATAATTTTATACCTACCTGTGTTTAATATTCTTTGGTTTGGTTTATTAGTAATTATTCTTATTTCGTGTGTAATACAGCGTGTGTTGAATCGTGGGATATCTAGAAAAAATTAGGATTTACAGAGAACAACAAAGGACAATTATTTACTTGGATGAAACCTGGTTCGACACTTACGATACCCTGGAAAAGGGTTGGGTTGACCCAACTGATAAGTGTAAAACAAACACGCCATCAAAAAGAGGTAAAAGAATAACTATTTTGTATGCTGGCTCTAAAGATGGTTGGATTCCAAATGGACTTTCTCTGTCTGCGAAAAATATTAAAGATTACCATGAAGGCACCACCGCTGATTTATTTGAAAGTTGATTTAAAAACAAACTACCTCCAAACATTTCTCCTAATAGCGTCATTGTAGGAGACAATGCAAGTTATCACAGTAGACAGCTGACTAATACCCTTTCTTCATGTGACACAAAAGCAACAATCCAAAACTACATGTATAATAACGACATTTATTTTCACGGAGGTTATACCAAAAAGCAATTAATTGAGGTTCTACATAGCTTGAGCTTACAAAATTACGCAAAAAATCTAGGGCATACAGTTTTAAGGCTTCCACCTTACCACTGCATATTTAATCCCATTGAACATGTTTGGCACCAACTGAAATCTGCCATTCGTCGTAACAATGTTTTTCCCCGTGTTAACTAAAATGTCCTCAAACTTATAGAAACCGAAGTTTTTAACATCCCTCCACAAAGTTGGGCAAATTCTGTTAAACATATAGAAAAAACTGAACAATTGTATATCCATATTGCAAATAATAATTTATTATGTGAATAATTTTAAGTAACACTTTAAACACAAATACATACATAAATAAATAAATATTGTTTAGTATCTTTTCTAATAAAACCTCAAATAATTAAAGTCTAAGCAAAGTACGGACCTGTTCGGCCCTATTTCATTCTTACAGCTTGCCCGGGTCTTTCCTTAATTCGTATCAGTTAGTCACTTTCTTATATCTATGAACATACTTTACCTGTTGTCGACTTGCGTTTACGGTACTCTCACTAAATTTTGGTGCAGTGTTATTTCTTCTTATAGGTGCTTTCAACTCAGACCAAATCATCTCAATCTCTTCAAAATATAATTCTTTTTTCTTCTTTATTCGAAGAAGCATTTATTATTATGTATTATCCAACAGAATAACAGTGTTTGTCGATATTTTTGGAAACAATTTATTTTCAGACCAGTATCCAAATATTTAATTATATTAATTATAATGATAATACAATGCAATGTTCAATTTACAATACAATAAAATACCAATAAACCACACGAATTGCAAAAAAGGAGATGAAAGCAATTAAAATTGTTCCAAGTCACTTCCTTATATCTATGAACAGACTTTAGCTTTGGTTGTGGCTCTCAGTAACAGCTGGCGGTGCCAGTATCGAACGTAATCGATTAATTAAATCCAATATCGATTTTAGACAGTTTTGTAATATTCGCGTTTTTCAGAAGCCCATATTTCAGAACCATCGAAACATCCCGTTTCCCAAATGGGACTCGTATATCCCCGCTTCTCTATCGAACGACCGTCAGTTTTTCGTTTTGAATATTTTCCCGTTTTGTTTTGTCCGAAATAAGCGAACGATAAAAGTAACGGCCGAAGCTTTTCGACTCTATGCCACGCTAGATTTGACGCGAACGTTGTATCGACGCACATCACCATTATCGCCCGTTAATATAAACGTATCCCGTTCCTAACTGCCGAAAAGCAATAACGCGTTTCAATTGAAATTTGTCCTTTTTTTTCAGGTCGTTGTCGCCGATTCGGGTGTTAAAAAATGACGTCTTCAAAATTGAAATTATTTTTGAGAACAGGAATAAGGTTTTGGTAAGAAAACGATCAAATGATCAAATGACCAAAAAATCGAATTTTGTTTCATTTGTGCACGGCGTTTTACGAAACATATTATTAATTACAGTCGAAACTTGATATAGCGAAACTGAAGGGACTTTTCTTTTTCATTATAAAGACTTATAAGCACTTGAAAAATAACCATATGCATAGTAATAATTAATTAATTTATATACATATTTTAACATCTACTCGGGAACATTTTATATAAATATTCAAGAACTACGTTTAATGTTTCAAATAATCGGTCATTTTATTTCGATTTTTTAGTATGTTTAGCAGTTTGTATTTTCGCAATTTCTTCGAGAGGAGCATTCAACTTCTTCATCTTCTTCTTCTTCTTGGTGCTCATCCTCACCCCTTCTTGCTTGTTGTAACATGGCTTCCCCTGTCAAGTCTGCTGTTGTAGGCAAATCCTGATCTATCACCAAAAAATCTTGCAACTCCTCACTTGTAAACGTTAATTGTTGTTTGAAACTGCTTTATCCTGTTCGCATTCGGCCTCGGTAACACTGGTCTCTCCTTGTTTTCATGCATGAATTCATCTCATCACGGAACCTGATATACAAATAAGTGCCACACGTAGGTTTTTATTTTAATATTTATTTCATCAAAAAACAATATTATTAAAGTATAAATTATTATAAGGAAATAAAAAAATGTGGCGGCTTGAGTTTTACAGTAAAAAATCCTAAATTATAAACAAAACTAATAAAAATCGTTGGTTATTTCATTATGGAGTGATTTAGATGGAGTTTCTCGATGAATTGTGCAACGGGGACAGATGGGTATTTATTACCATTATGAAGTAGAACGGCTTTCAAGCTTATTTTTGAAGCATCAATAAAAAGTCTGCATTCACTAGAATCTTCTGGAAAACTTAGTTCTTGAAGAAGCCCTGCAGCATCATTACAATATACCAAATCATCTTCTTTGGAGAAGTAACTTGTAAAACTTTCTTTCCTCGTACGAAAATATGAAACTCTGGTACTTTTAGTCAATAGATTCCACTGTTTTAACCTTGATCCGAGTAACTGTGCCTTAGATTTTGGAAGTCCCGCGTCTCTAACAAGATCATTTAAGTCGCCTTGTTCAAGTAAATGAGGTTCTGTAGATGGACGTGAAGGTCCAGATAAAGTGCATGAAGATGAAGATGTACTACCAGAAAGAAAACTCGATTGAGATTGTAGACCTGAAATATTTTTATTTTCAGCCTCCTCATTAACTGGTGGAACTGGAGGTGGAGTGTCTTTATCACTAGGACTTCTTATCTCTACTTTTTTTCGAGAATCCTCGTGTAGATGTCATGCAGAAATAACAATCATTGTCATGAGTTTGAGGCTCACTCCAAATCATTGGCATTGAAAACGGCATGGATTTGTGACTTTCTTTAAGCCAACCTCTCAACGTTCTTGAGCAGCTGTTGCAGCATACTTTTGGCAACCAACTTTTATCTCGTTCATCGATAGAAAATCCAAAATGTAGCTTAGAAGCTGTTTTAACCAGATCGGCCATGACATGTCGCTGTGTTTTTAGTATGTATTCCCCACAAATGTAGCAAAAACAATCTGAGGAATTTTTACAAATCCGTGGCATTTTGTAACCTAAAATCACACAAAATTAATTTTAAAACAACTTTTAAACTTCTATTTTATATTTATTGATGCTCAAACTACGCATCAAATACTTAAATGCAATGTATAGAACATGAACTTTATGCAAAACTTACCAAAATATTTGATATAAAAGGTAAACAATTGAACGACAAAAATCATCTTCGGCACTTCCCTCCTTTCTCTTACAACTCTCTGAAACTCATTTTGTATGTATATTGTAAAATTGAAAAAAAAAAAAAAAAAAACAAAATTTTGAAATATAAAAAAAAAAATCTAGACGTGATAGAAAAATTCGGCCAACGGGGATAGATTCAAAACGCTTGAATCATTATATTTATCATAAAATTTTTTAAATGAAGATTTCATTGCCAACCAGTGTAATAAGTCCTGCATAACTATAGGAGTGTTGAATTGTTTCTGCTGTCTACTCTTTCCAAGCTTTACTAATAAAGTTGACTCCATCTAGCATATTAATGAACAAGAATACGCATCCTTTACAAAACCGCGGCCTAGCCAGGGGTAGAGAGTTGGAAGAAGTAACGATTCAGGGAGAAACAGAAATTAGAAATTAAAATAATAATAATTATAATTCATTCACGTCAACCACTGACACGTTTTTTTTAATTTAAATTAGAAAATTGGAATATTCAAAAAAAAAAAGAAAAATGTATATAAGGAACACTCAGTAAAGCAGCGAGCAGGTCGTAACGGATGTCTAGGTGTGTGCGAATTTATATGAGTTTTTATTATATTTTCGATATCGGGAAATTTAGGATTTTGTTTTTTGATGCCCTGGAGGAAGTTTAGCTGATCCCGCATCTCTTGCAATTCATATTCATAATTCAATATTCAATTTGTTATTTATAGATATTT